AAATACAATTTCCTTCCATTTGGTCTAAGTTGTTCTCCAGCCATATTTCAGGAAGTTATGAATAAAGTAGTTGGTGATCTTGAAGGTGTTGAAGTTTATCATGATGATCTCATTGTTCATGGCTCTAATAAGGTAGTTCATGACCAGAGACTTATTGCTTTATTGCGTCGTTTAATTGAGAAGAATATTACAGTGAATCTAAACAAGTGTCCATTTTGTGTATCTACTTTTAAATGCCTTGGATACCTAGTTGATGGTAATGGTTTTAGACCAGATATAAAACGACTAGCTCCACTGACTAATGCACCGTCTCCGAAAAATCTTACATAACTACGTTGACTAGTGGGTGCTCTTCAATACTACTCCCGTTTTATTCCCAATATTTATTGTCGTGCAAATTGTTTATTTTATATTTTGAAATCCAATTCATTCAAATGGGGTAAGGAACTAGAGTCATGCTTACGAAGTCTGCTGAAGCTTCTTCAAAGTGATGCTGTTCTTCGAACGTACTCTCCTTATGTGCATTCCGTGTATTTTACTGATGCATCACCTGTGGGAATCGGTGCAGTTTTAGAACAGGAAGGTAGACCAGTTAATTGTGTTTCACGCAAACTTACTGTTACCGAACAAGGTTATTCACAGACTCCGCGAGAGGCATTAGCTGTGTTTTGGGCTGTTAAAAGACTTCATAAATATTTATTCAGAAAGAAATTTACTATTGTTACGGATCATGAAGCTTTAAAGTTTATTTATCATCCTGAAAAATCCTTAGCACGTTCCTCAGCTGCTATGGTTCAACGATGGTGTATTGCTTTGAATGCATATGACTATACGGTTCAGCCCAGAAGTGCCAAACAAATTCAACATGTTGACTACATTTCTCGACAGTCATTACAAGATAGACATATTAATACTTCGAACTGTTTGTTAGTGCAACCTTTATCAGTGAGACGTTCACACCTCATTAGAGAAACTCGTAGATATTTTGGATGTATACTCAGTGCTACACGGAAGGGCTGGAGTGCTAATTTGAAACGTAGATTTTCTGTCTATTTTTCAAAGCGGGATGAGCTATCTACTACTCCTGATGGTATTCTGTGTTTAAATGGTCGTGTTGTCATTTCTCCTTCGTTGAGTAAATCTGTTCTTGAAGATCTTCATAGTGGTCATTTAGGTGTTGAGAAAATGAAGTCCTTGGCAGGGCTCACATGTTGGTGGCCAGAGATAAATGCAGATATATGTCGTACTGCAAACAATTGTGGGAAATGTCATCAGTTGAAAAATCATCCTTTGAAGTGGACGCCATGGCCAGTATCATCTGAGGCCTGGCAAAGAATTCATGCTGACTATTGTGGTCCGTTTCTTGGTAAATACTGTGCACTAGTAGTTATTGATTCTTTTTCAAAGTGGCCTGACGTTTTTTCACAACTTCACCAAATTCTGATTTCACAATCCAAGCATTAAAAAGGAGTTTAGTCGGGAAGGGGTTCCTATGGTGTTAGTGACTGATAATGGCTATCACTTCGCTGCAGATGCAGTCACTACCTGGTTGAATGGTATAGGGTACAGACATCTGTTTACTGCTCCCAGACATCCGTGTTCTAATGGTCAGGCAGAAAATTTTGTCGGGACATTAAAGACTGCTATTGATTCTATAGCCGCCTCAACATTTAATGAGTTGGAGAGGGGAGTAGATACCTTTCTATTGCAATATAACAATGCCAAACATTCGGTGACGAAGGAGACTCCAGCGAGGCTATTGAAAGGAAGAATTCTTCGGTCGAATATGAAATGTTTAGAGTCTGCAGAAGTTACATACTATCGAGGAAATGATCTTCGACCATCTACGGGTATTGGTCTGAAAAATGTCGGAAAATCGATGGTGCAAATTCTAGACATCAATGACTTAAGTACACACAGTCGACATGTTGGCCAAATACGATTTCAGGACCCAGGTGATTCAGTTCCAATTTCAGTTGATAATTCAAATGCTAATGAGTACATTCTAGATAATACAGAATCCTTATCCAATACAATGTCAGACAGATTCAGGATGAATTTGAGAAGACGTACGATTGATTACAAACACCTAGACTTTAATTTAAGCTGAAGCGAATGTGGTGTTTGAACGAGCTAATGATTTCTTTGTACTTGTTTTATGCTCGATTTCGAATTCCAAATACATAACATTCGTTTGTGCTTGTGTCTTAATTCTTGATTCAATTGCGTTAATTCTGTGATTCCTAGTTCATACAATAATTCAAATACGCTTGAACATTATATTAGGACTCTTTCAGACAGAATGCCATGCCAGTAAAGAGCAGGAAAAGCCAGCTAAAGACCACTGGCATCAAGGTCCCAAACGCATTCTAATCCCAAAGCTTATAGAATTAAGCCCAATTCGTTGGGAATCTCTGATGTTGCAAATATTCTACGACTGACAAACTCTCTTGTATCTCTAGAATTTCAGAACACAGAAGGCCGTAACCTTAGTGTAAACGATGCCATGTCCTCTGAAAATGGTGATTGAAATCTGACCATAAACAGTTGTGCTGATAATGACTAAGATAATACTGTTATAGTTTTCGTCACCGTAACACCCAGCTGTAGTAACTGTGTAACGTTCAACGAGCAAATTATTATGAAAAATGATGTAGCCGACCACGTCTCAGACATGAATGTTTTCTAACCTTGGCAACCAAAGAAAGCATGAGTATAGAAATTCAGTTCTCCACGAGTTACAAAGAAGCAAAAACAAATCACGAACCTTTCAAGTAAATGCTTAAGAGATGTAACACGTTTACCGTATATAAAAAATGATTCAAATTATTGACGGCTACTTAGTCGCATGCATAGACCTGACAGCCTCCTTGGTCCGGCTCCCAAGATGTACACTATGTCTTTGTAAGATGGTAGGGTCACCAAGAATCAGAAGAATTATTTCTCTGTTTTCTACAGGCAAACATAATACAAATGATGAAAAAAATATTGAATGTGCTTCCCCTCGCGACACAGTCCTTACCCTAACCAATACTACGAGTATTCGCGAAACTACGACTAACGATCTGCAACTTGATGATACCCCTCAGTTTATTATTCTTTCATTCGATTATCTTCTTTCCAATAAAATTAACGATCTTAAAACACATACTCTTCTTGCAGATCCAACTCATTACTTACTTTGGCCTGTTACACTCGTGAATGAGCACAGGCCGCTCACCAGCATTCTCCATTCAACTCTGTCCTGGCAATTCTTTCCAGTTCTTTTCTGTTGCTTTTCACCCTTTACACGTCTGTTTCAAACTCTCAGTGTGGTGTGTTCTACCACCTTCTGGTTTTCCGTTTCCCTTCAGGATTCCAAGTTAGCGATTGTTTCGTGATGAAGTTTTATGATTTCCTCAACGTATGTCCAGTCCGCTTCCAAAATCATTCCCTAATTTCTTCTTCAGATAGAAAATGGTTTGTTCTCCCAAACAGTAGGCTATTGTTGATGGTTTCCGGTCAACGGAAATTAAGTACCTTGCATAGAAGCATGTTTATAAATAGATGTACTCTTTCGACGACGGTTGTAGTAGTTTTTGAAGTTTCAGCTTCATACGGCGATGCTGTCTTGGTGTTTGTATTAAAGATTCTCACTTTGATATTGGTTGACAGTTGTTTTGAGTTCCAAATGTCCTTCAACTGTGAGAATGCTGCCCTTACTTTACCAACTCTTACCTTTACGACTGCATCCGGTTCTCCTTGCTCATCAAGTAAGTCAACGTTTCCACCTCTTTCAGAGTTTCTCCATCAAATATGATTGGGTGTGTTCACACTACTCTGGTTGTATTGACCTGCATTTGCTCGTGTGTAGGGGATAGGAGAGCCGAGTCGTCAGCGAAGTCCAAATCGTCGGGTTGTATACAACCCGTCCATTGTATTCCGTGTTTTCCCTCACAAGTGGAGCTCATCATAACCCTTTTGACCACCAGAAAGAAGAGAAAGCGAGAGAGTAACCATCAATGTCTGACTCCGATTCTCATTTAGAATGCATCTGTCAACCGTCTTCCATGTGAGACTATACAGTGTAGTCTACAATTGTTAGTAGGAGATATTAATAGAACTCTAACCTTTGACACACTAGTAGAATTCTGGATCACACTTAATATTGGAATGAAAGTATATTTCACCCTATCTGATACTTTGTGTGCATATCATCAATGAAAATGCTCGGAAACAGAACATACGCTACAATTCAATGTCACTCCAAACCCTTGAGTATTCCGACCCTTAAGATGCCGAGAACTGTCTTCAATAATTGCCCAACTGCCGAAAATGTATTGTTTTATGTTTCTTTATCTGGAGAGGGATAAACATATGGTGGGATGAGCCTAGGGTGGACACTTCACCATCGTATAGTACCACGTTACATTTAATTTTAAATTCCTTAATATTATTTGATCACTTTAATACTTTGCCAATAAACAGCGCACATGAAAGTGGCGCTGACGAGTAGGGGATGAAAAGGTTGGACAACAACTCTATAGTGTTTTAAACTCACTTTCAGAAAGGAATGCGTTACCACCTACTATCCTCTCAAAAGAATTCTCGACAGAATCTTAAACTCCAACAGTAATCAGAGAAGTTAGTTGGAGGCTTTCCCTGAGTCACTCCAACTAAATTGCAGTGCTTACTTTTCCGTGGGTTGAAACTCAGATGGAATGTATGTGACTTGTTGTGAGCTGACGAGAGTTGACATAAAAGGAGGATTCAATGAGGACGAAATCTATGAGGTTTATTTGTGAATGCAGTTAGCAAAATAAGCAGGTTCCCAAAGCACATATTTAGGAACCATTATACACATTTCAGACGCGGACGGTCTAGGACAATTGGTCTGATAGTTTGAACTACCAAAGTTCGATATCCATAGATGACAATTTTTCATTGACAAACGAGTTGACATACAATTTCTCTATCATAATAACTACAGCACTTTTCAAAGTTGTTTATTGACATTGAATGTTGTTGGAGTGCATCAAGTAGATATCGCAAACAGTTGAGCGCGTAAAGGTGAAGGCATGGTAAGATTTGCTTGTCTGCATTATTCTTCAGGCCATAGTGAAACTGGTTAAGAATAAGGCTTATTTTAAACGCTTCCAAGTCAAATTCAAAAGGCGAAGAGGTAAGAAATGCGTTAGGCATAGCATACACAATATGTAGAGGGAAAAACTGACTACTATGCTCGCAAACGGCTAATTTGGCAGGATAAAAACAAATACAATACACCTAAATACCGTCTGGTGGTCCGTTTTACTAATAAGGACATAATCTGTCAGGTTAGTGTCTAACTTTATCTACTGACATCAACTAGATTATTTATGCACGCATTGATGGAGACCGAGTATTGTGCTCCGCCTATTCTCACGAATTACCTCGATATGGCGTTAAGGTGGGACTGACTAATTATTCCGCCGCCTACTGTACAGGTCTTCTTTGTGCCAGGCGCGTATTGAAGCAACTAGGCCTGGATGGTCTTTATGCTGGAGCTGAGAAAGTCGATGGGCAAGAATATCATGTGGAATCTGTTGACGGGGAAAAGTCTGCTTTCAGGTGTCATCTTGACATTGGTCTTGCAAGGACTACATCCGGTGCCAATATCTTCGGGGCTCTTAAAGGTGCCGTTGATGGTGGTCTAGACATACCTTACTCACCCAGTAGATTCCCGGGTTACAACCAGGCGTCTAAAGAGTACAATGCCGAGGTTCACCGAGCCCGTATACTAGGTCATCATGTAGCTGAATATATGAAACTACTTCAAGAGGAAAGCGAAACTGATTATCAGCGTCAGTTCAGTGGATATATAAGACATGGGATCACTGCTGATAAAATTGAGGCAATGTACCTTTCAGCTCATGCAGCAATTCGAGCAGACCCCTCACATATTACTAAGGAGCAGAAGGAGGTTCAACCGAAGAGATTCAATCGCAGAAAGTTGTCTTCCAAACAAAGAAAGGAACGTGTTCGACAAAAGAAGACACACTATCTCTCTCAACTCAAAAAAGAAATAGCCGCTGCTGAATAGTTGTCTGTTATAATAAAATGTTGGTCCAGTATTTTCTAGTTTAGTCTAGTCTTTGTCACGTTTACCTTATATTCCATCTAGGTTATTTTCTCGTGACCACCTAGAGGTGATCTTTTGGTCATTAGAGTTGACCGATTAAGGCTTGATATTCCGAGTTGTTTAGTCAGAAATCTTTTGTTACTCGTTTGTATATTGCTCTCGTAAAACGTCATCGCGATATGTTGCACCAATTTGTTACCTCATAATTATTTTTCATTAACTACTCCGAGTTCTCCATTTGTGAATACACTGGGTGTAAAATCTCGTCATTGATAATTTAGGACATTGCTGCAATAAATATAAACGACACTGGTGCAAACAAAGTGACTCAGTGCTAGTCACCGTAGCTCACATGCTTTTAGTCTTTGTCTTCAAGATCTTGACTTCCTATATTCTGGTTATATAACATCAGGGTCATTTTCAAACCCTAATCACTTGTTTGGCACCATTCACTAGCACTACTATTGTAAATCGTCAAGTTTATAGCAAATGATAACGGTAAGAACCATATCTACTCTGAGGATTGTTGCCCACTAAAAATAAGTTGATTAACATTTGTCTTTCAAACAGATCCCTTGTATCCAATAATCGCTCAACTTGATAAGGTATACCTGTTATTCCTTTGTTTAATCTGGATTTTGTCGAAATCTGTGTGCTGCTAAAGAAGTTGTATTAATACTGTACGTTTGCTTTATGTAGTTGAATAAGCTTGTTAGCAATGTTACATAATTTACCACAAACTATTTGTAACTTATTGGCCGCCAAACGGAAAATTAACTGTTAAAAGTAATCATAAAAGGGGAAGAAAAATTGCTGATAATATTAAATAACTTATTTTATATAGTCTAGCTGAAACGCCAGCCATAAAACCGAAAAAATATACGCTTCTAACTAATTATTCACCACTCAGTTTTACGTCCTTTTCCATATTTAAACTATACAAAAAGTCTAATAAATTAAGTTGGACCTTACTTTAAGTCAAGTAATTTTCTTACACGAAATCAGTTGGAGGTTGCAGGACGCTTTGTGAAATTTTGGCGTTTCGAAACCTCCCCGTCGAGTTAAGACCTTGCGATTAGTTGTCAGCATCTTCCATGTATGAACTGTCTTTTTGATAGGTCTCGTATTATTTGCCCCAGTTAGTGCACTTGAAAGCTAATCGGGGCATGCGTACTTGGCTTTTGACTCATTGTTGGGGACTATGAGTCTACTTTTAGTGTCCCTATTCATCTAAAATAACCCACTCGTCAGGCAAACTAGTCTTACAGTCACGACGATAATTGACATGTTGAGTGCTTCCACCAAATGCCGTTTGCAGTTCCCGACTCAACCGTTATCTGGAAGCTAGTAAAAAAAGTACATAATTTTCGAACAAAGCATCATTTCATGGCCTGCGAAAGCTAGAATCTATAATAGGGAACGTAGTCATTCATAACGTAAGAAAGTAATCTTGTACAGTTATTTAGTATTATCGGGACGGTCCGGAATACTTCATTTTGCTGGGATCTCTCTCAAATATGGTCTCTCCTTGTCTCGCTGTTTTGTTATGTGTTGAATTTGACGGTTTATTGCTATCCCATTTGGCTGGTAAAATGGTTTTGAATTTTCTAGTTTGAAGCTTGGTATGGCATGTCACGGTTTTTACTTTCGGCCTCTGAACTCGGACGATTTACTACTGCGCTAGGTGACTTAGTGATTATTATAGTAGAAAAGATATTAAGCTATTGGTACCTACTGCTTTAGCATTGTGCGTTTTTGCGACGAATAAATTTTTCACTCGGTGAAATAAAGTTTTTATAACCATTGTTGCCTAACTTCATGTAGAATGATTCAAGAATCAGCAATTTCGAACTCTAGGTCATTGTTTTAATTACGAAAGTTCCCCTCTAAAATGGATATGCCTATGCAGTTGCTTCCGTTTGACGTTTATTCGGTTAAGTCCTCGTTACTATTCATTTCTCATATGAATTAGAGTGAAGATGCCACAAGTATTCAGTGTTTGACAACGCTTTTACCAGTAACACCTAATATGAAGCGTACCCACTAAGAGAAATCGAAAGACAGAATCGAGGAGATTGGAAGATATATTTGATGACTATCAATCTATCGAGAGTCGTCTGATCTAATCTGGCTAGCGATTGAAGTAGACGTTGAGCACGGCGTTCCCACTCGTGATCTGGTGTGGATGCATGACCGAGCGCCTTCAGCTAGGTGAGTCCATTAAAACTAATCTGGTCAGCATCCAATGTCGAAAACTTACAGAGCTATTTATTTTGGGGATTTATTTACCGCTACAGATCACTCCCCCCTAGTGAGGTAGTGATGACCCTAAGACGTGGCCAGCCAGAAGTTTAAACCCAACGAGTTTTGTCGTTGGTAAACACTCCTCTGATAGCTTGCTAAGTTAAGCAACGTCTGGTCGTCTTTCCTTACTCTAAGGGACCATGTAATACAATATGGTAAGAAAATTTTGGTTCCTCGTAAACCTCATCGCTCTTTTTATCGTCTTTTCCAGCCGTCCTGGAAAATAAAAAAGGAATATGTAAGTGCATTTCAAAATAAACCCGTACGCGCTTTAAGACACAAAATGGGCGAAAAAGTGTAAATAACGTAAAAGCGAATTCTACAAAATGTTTCTTCAAAACATTTTGTTAATATACATAGTAGCCAAATAATAAATGTAAGCATATTAAAGATTTTTTATATTATGTATAATGCCATGGAAAATCGAGATGAAACAAAATGTTAACTAGTGTCTTACGTGCAATAGTCATTTAAATGTTCTGCAAATCTTACTCTTCTTCCAGAACGCGTTGTTTTAAGTTTATTTTCAGATACTGTCGAAGTACCATCGTGCGTGTTGGTTGTCGTCGGATAAGGTATTATAAGCGTAGGAGTCGTGTTGTGTGATTGTACCGAAGGGAAATCGACGTGAATAGGATTTCCTTCTAAATACGCTGCTTTGAGGCGATCGATGCTGATGCTATCGTTGGTTCCGTCCTTATCGATTATATAGTACTTCGGTTCGCATTGAAGAACTTTGATAGGTGCTTCGAATGGTCGTCGATGCGAGTCTCGACGCACGAAGACGTGTGTACTATATCATAAGTCAGGTTGAACGAAAATATCAGTTGATTGAGGTCCAGTGGAAACAGATTTAACTGAATGCATTGCGTTTGTAAGCCTGTTCGTGTAGGAGGTTAGATCCATGTTCATTGAAGAGGATGAAGGATCCACGAATTCTCCTGGAAGTCGAAGTGTCGTTCCATAAACGAGTTGAGCCGCAGTGTATCCAATGTCAGCTTTCACTGCATTGCGAATACCTAGTAAGACAAGTGGAAGAGCGTCGGTCCACTGTGAAACGTTTGCAGCTGATAGTGAAGCTTTTAGTTGTCGGTGAAAACGTTCTACCAACCCGTTTGCTTGTGGGTGGTAGACGGTCGTTCGGAAGCGAGTCATTCCTAATAGTGTGGTCAGACGACGAAAAAGTTCAGATTCGAACTGACGTCCGCGGTCTGTAGTGATGGTTGAAAGGCAGCCGAATACTATACTGAGACAGTATGTTTGCGATCGTGATATAGATAGTTACAACCGGACGAACTGATGGACACATGTTTGTAAAAACGGGAGCGATAAAGGTGTACGTAATTATTTAACAAATATTAAGGATCAGTGGATGGAAGTAGTGAAAACTAATGGGAAAACCATTTCAGTTGAGATAAAATCAATCCCAAGAGATCCTCTTAGCTAAAGAAGTGTGGACAGCCATTAACCTCTTCTGAGACATGTCTGATAACAAATTAGATTTGCTCTAGGACCCCCCACCAGAGAGTTGTGGACGGTCCCAGTCCCTTACACCTACTCTTGTGCCAAGGCACCATTCCATAAACTGACCATCTGTCTACTTCTTGCAGATTTCTACCTCGTTAGGTGGGTGTCATCACCGGCCATCGAAGACGATACAGTCTAACCGATGTCACTAGGACAGAAGACTAACCGGATCGTTCCTTGAAAGACTCCTGATTGTAGGTGTTATTGATTGTCGTCCAATCTGCTTCACAGGTCTTTTCACTCACACTAGACTTCTTGCTGCCTGTGACTCGGATGACTTATATGTCATTGCCGCTTCCAACCCTTCAGCATGCTCTGACTACCAGGCTTTTTGGTCCTCTAGCAAACTTGACACAATTTTTCTACATAAGAATTTACGTTTACTGTCAAACTCGCAGCTGGTCGGAGCAGACCTACGTGCTTCATGAAAATATAAGGAGGTTGTAGAAATCCCAGTATTTATAGGCGGACGTTTCGTGAAGCCACCAGTGGCTGTACTCCCCGTTTTCATGGCGTCATCCAAATGTAGCTAGTGCTGATCTGCACTTTTCGATGGGTATGATAACTTACCTCAAACATTAGCTCGCTTTGATATTTATTTGCAACGAGAGCTGCAACCAATTTACTTACGCCAATCTGTTTATGATGATGGATTTGTCGGACACTGGAAAGCAAGGTATGATTAGCTCAATTAGAGTTTATATAAGTCTTGTACACAACCACCCCAGCTGTAGCTGACTGCGATATGATCAGCCTGAGTCCTGGCTTGAGTTGCAAGAGTGAAGGATATGATTAAGTAAAGACGAAGGGTAAGATGCATATGCACCACTAACTTGTTTTTAGCCATATTTCAGTCTATCTAGGCTATTTTGAAGGCCCTTGTCATAAAGAATGCATATATAACTACTGAATAACTATGTCTTCAGATTTTGACTATCTAATCCTATAGTAAGCAACAATCGAGAAAGAGATTCGACGCAGAACCTGATAAGTGTATACATTGGTTCAAGTCTTCATAACCCAATAGCATAAGGAGGTGTAATCGTCAGGATAAATCCCGGAATAGAAGAGATAACAGAATGAGTGGTTGCAGAGAAGACTAGTGATCAAAGAAACGACCCAAGAAAGTATGAATTAGTAAAATAAAGACAAAAAGTTATGAGGAACTCAGAAGCCCATAATTTGGGGAAAACAAGAGAAGCTGCACATGGACCATCGTGAACGATTTTGATCCATGTTATTCATCTATCAATGTGGCTGAGTCCCATTTTCAATGTCTCCA